GTTGCAGCTGGAGTGAGCGGCATGGTATGAGATCTGCGTCGGGACGGCGAGGGGGCTGCTGTACCTGCACGAGGAGTTGCGGTTGAGGACCGCCCACAGGGACGAAAGTCTCTAAATGAAGTTGGGGTAGTCACCTTCGGTATAAGTGCAAGGAAGGTGGCCTTCCAACTTCGTGTAAAAACTTTACGATGAAAGATTTCCTTAATAGCTTGGATGAGATCAGTACCAATGATATCCCAACATGAAACATAAAAATCAGTTGGGAAACCATCGGGCCTAGGTGCACGATGTCTGCTCATAGAGAAAACTACTTCCTTGATCTCTTCTCCCGTGGGTATGGCCGTCGTGAGAGAGCTCTCATGGCGAGTGATTAATGATGGGATCGAAGTGAGCATATCATCAGAAATCTTGATCGGCTGAGAGGTTAAGAGAGTACGAAAGTACTCAACCCTTGCCTTCTGCATGCGGGAAAGGTCCTGATCATATGTCTCTAAAAGGGAGGTATAATCTGAATGAGCGGTGAGCGACCGATGCATGAAAGAAACGAGTGTTTCTATCACCCTCTTGTAACCACTGGATGCGTGATTTTTGGAGATAGAATAACTCCTGTCGTCGCACAACCTTATCAAGCTGGTCTCTCACTCTACTCCTCCTTTCCCAAGCAGCATCTGAATATCTAGCTTGCAATAGTCTTTCAACCTCTGCTAACTCTTTTTGCAATGCATCAACTTGGGTATGGACATTCCCATAGATATGTCGGTTCCACCATTTAAGGTGGAGTTTGAGATTCCTTAACCTATAGCTAAGGTTCTTCATAAGAAAATCTGAGATATGTCCGTACCAGTGATTCCGTACGAAACTCTGAAAGTCTTCATGTTGAAGCCACATGATCTGAAATCTGAAGGGAGGTCTGTGGGTGCTCATACTCTGTTTAAGGAGTATGAGGATCGGGGTGTGATCTGACCTATAACGGGATAATATCATGACTAATATGGGATGTCGCACCATGGCGATGCTGTTGATGAAATAGCGATCGATACACTCATAGATCAAAGCGTCCCCTCGATTGTTGCTCCATGTCCATGCCTCGCCTGATGTAGGTGGCTCAATAAGAGCTAATCGAAAAATATAATCATTGAACGTCTCCATATTACGGGCCCTAGGGATCCGCCCACCTTGACGTTCACTAGTATTACGAACGCAGTTGAAGTCACCTGCTAGGTACCAAGGAGACTCAACTAGTGTAGGGTAGTCCCTCACGTACTGAACTAGGTCCGCCCAAAGAGTTTCTCTTTCTTCGGATCTATGTGATGCATAGATGACCGAGAAGGTGAACTCTTGGGTGAGATCTCGAACCGTCATAGTGATATGCTGGGATCCCTCAACTAGCAACTCCATAGAGTATGGTCTAGTCCAAAAGAGCCAAATATGATTTGTGGGGTTGGAGTGAAAATGATCCATACCTAATCGCTTAAGTAAAGGTTAGATACGATCTGATGATATCATAGGCTCAATGAGGCCTACTATACCTAGTCGATACTATATGATAAGGCTAGCTATATAAAATTGGGTTTTGAGGTTACCTATACCTCGACAATTCCATATGATGCTAGGTATCATGATCTAATGAGTGGCCCCATGAGTCCTAGATCTCGTGGAGTAAGGTGAGCGTCTAGTGAGTTGTGTGGTCCTAGCCTCCGTCTGATATCCCTCATCTAGGTAGGTAGTCTCAATGTCAGTCTCAGATCCACCATCCTCATGGGTACTAGTCATGTGGCCACTAGTATCATGAGCACTAGATGAGGAGGATGGGTGCGGTGCTTGACGATTCGTCAAGCACTGTCCTCTATCGGGGCTCTCTCTAGAATCAGCGGGTGGTGGATCAAGTATAGGGAACTGATCTAGTGGGTGTAGTGGGGGAGAGGGGGGGAGGGTATAAGAATTAGAACGGGGGGCTACGTAAGATGTACTAATAGGAAGTGTGCTGGGGGTAGGCCCTCCTAGTAGATCCTGGACGGGGATTTGAGGGGGATGGGTAGTGCTCAAGCCGATACCCTCAAAGAAAGGGGTAGACCTCGGTCGGTGGGGACTAAGAGGTGAAGGGCTCCTGCTATGTGGGGAAGAGTGAATGGGTGGGGAGGAGCTGGGTGGTGGAGAGACACTAATGGGTGGAGTGGGGTGGGTGAGTATGGGGGGTCGGATAGCCCGAGGGGATCTAGTATGTGGAGCTTGACTAGGTGAGTCCCTCGTAGTGGGGGATGCTAGCCCTTTGGAAGGCCTAGTTCCCCTCTGTGTAAGTCCCTCAAAGTCTCTCTCATCTAAAGCCTCGAAGACCTCGAAGGTGTTTGAGGTTAGGGGTTTCTTTCCCTTGCCTAAAGGAGAATGTGTAGCCTCTCGTGTTCCTTTGTTCCCCCCTGTGTGGATGGAAGAAGGGCGTCCAGCTGCCGGCTTTTGCCGTGCATACTGTGTCTCAATCAATGAACTAGGCTTCTCTTGTGCCTTCTGAGGTAAGGAAGGTGGAGCCGCCATAGGGGCAATCGACCTCTGAGGATGACGAGCACTCTAAGTATCCTTTCTCATTTCGACGAGATAATTGTCATATGAGATCGGTACTAAAAAGGCTCGTGTGGTCGCTTGTGGTGTACCTGCCTTCTGACGACATGTGCTGACAGTGTGGCCCAAGATAGCACAATATGTGCAGAAATATGGTAATCTCTCGTAAATAATAGGCTGATAAAGCTCATCATCTCCACTACGTATAACGAGAGTCCTCTGTAGAGGGGCCATTAGGTCCACCTCTATACAAACTCGTGCATATCCTGGCCAGTTGAACATTTTTATGCCTGGGTCAAGGCATATGAATGTTCCCACCGCATTTGCCAAAGACTCAAGTGCCTTTAGCGTAAATAAATGGGCAGGTAAGCTAGGGAAGCCCACCCATAATGGAACCGCATGGGATTGATGTGCTCGGTGCCCTATGTCGATCTATGGTGTCCATCTGTGGGTATGGAGGGTAGACTCCCCCAATGTCCAAGTGGGTCGGCTTCATGCTCGACGATAATCCGCTTCTAGCTCAAAGCAGATGTATATGCTACGATAGTCTCGAGCTCCGATGGAGACTCGGCCTTGGAAATTTCCAGGTGTCAAGTAAATCTTCTCTATGTCACCTATAGTTGGTCGTTTCATAGTGAAACGACCAACTAAGGTATATTGGAATGTGGCTGCCATCTGGGAGACCTCCTCATAAGTAAAAGCTATTGTCCTCCTCCCATCATCCTCGCTATAGCTTCGCACTGAGACAGTGGTATCATAGAATGGGAATAGTACCTGACGCAGTGGTTGTTGTGGTGTGACAGTCTCTATGGAGGGGGCAAGGGGTCCAGACACTCGTTGTGCCCATGATAGGTGTCCAGTGGGCATAGTCGAGTTTGGCCTATGGGGCACAGTAGAGTCTAGCCCACTAGGTGTAGATATGGTGTGCCCAAGGGATGTGTTTGGGGCCAATATAGAGGTCTCAACTAGTGCTGGGATCCTAGTTGGTTCGAGGGGCTCAGTTTGAGAGAGCCTAAGGGCCC